CCCCGCTCCTGCCCCGCCGCTTGCACAGGCCTCCGCGGCCCGGTTCGCAGCCCGGAGGTCCGGGCCTCCTGGGGCCCAGCCCTGCTCCGCCGCCTCCGGCGCGCAGCGAGCCCCCGGGCACTCACCGGCTTCCAGGGCTGTCCCGAGGCTTCGGCCTGAGGAGAAAGAGGGGCGGGNCGGGTCTGTCGGGGAAGCCCCGCCCACACGAGCGCAGCAGAGGCCAATCGGAGCCCGCTGCGGCAAGCTACAGCCACGCCCATTGGGGGACTCGCCACCCAATCAAGAGAAGCAGCTGGCGGGGGAGACCAATCAAAAGTTGTCGTAGTGTGCCAACCGTGGGAAAAGAACGGCACCTGAACTCGGAGCTAGGCGGCGCGGTGGTGGGCGGGCCCCGAGGCCTGACCGGCAGCGGATTCGGCCAATGGCTAGGCCCGAGAGGCGGCGGGGGGCGGGAGGCCCAAGGGACCCGGGTGAATGAGCCGCTTTGTACAGGAGGAATGAATGGGGACCTTTGTGAGGGCCTGCGTTGGGGGGGCGACTGGAGGCCGGAATGCCTGGGTCCCCCGGGAGCTGGCGGGCAGGAGAGACGGGAGAAAGAATTCACTTTTGTCGAACGCCGACCGCGTACCAGGCACTCTCCCGGGCTCTCACCCACCAGGGAGGTGTAGGCGATAGTCAGTCATTCATTGAGTGCCCGGTGTATGCCAGGAGCTGTGCAAAGCGCTTTACCTGCATGATCTCATTTATTCCTTACAACTACCCTTTGGAATTGATGCTATTAAGATCTTCATTTTCCAGATGAGGTCAACCGAAGCTTAGAGAGAGGGTGTTAGATGCCAAAAGTCACAGAGCTGGCAAGTGACAGAGGAAGAACTCGGATCCCGCTAAACCTGACTCCAGAACTTCTGCTCTTAATACATCCAAACGTTGGTTAATGCCTCCCAATTTACAGATGGGAAAACTGAAGCTCAGGAGAGGCAGGCAACTTTCCTAAGTCACAAAGAAAAGGTTCTGCTGAACCCCGAAGTGGTGACCACATCTGAAGCTAACCTGTTGCTGGTGAGCTTGCACCATTGGTCTTTGAGCTGCGTCCCCATTAGAGGTGTACACTGAGGCTCCAGGAGGGGCGAGCAGCTGGGGCAGAAACTGGGAGCTGCTTGTCAATCAGGCCCCAGCCAGCCTGCCAGCCTGGCTCTGCTGTTCAACAGCTGTGCTGAACAATCTTAGGAGAGTGAAACTCATTTGACTGATAGAAAACTGAGGCCCGGACCGATAAAAAGTCCATGTGCCCTGGCGCACCAAGGAAGAGTGTAGACTGGGACACAACTGACATTTCAATAGGAAAGAAAGCTCTGGCACCTACAGCCTAACCATATTCTGCCTGGTAACTGGTGACGTTATCAACCCCATTTAGGGCTAAATCTACCTAGCAACTAGTGATGTCATCATTCCCACCAAGGGTCTAAACTGGAGATGTCATTAATTCTGCTCAGTCTCTGGGGTAATTGATGATGTCACTGAATGATACTACTAAGCTTCCTTTCGCTGAGGGGATTCTATGAGCTGTGCTAAGCCCTTTAATACCTGTTGATGTTTACTGAGCACTTACTATGCACCAGGCACAGTTCTAAGCCCTTGATACTCATGAAATCCTATAATCTTCCCAATAATTCTGGCAGGTACTAGAGTCATATCCAATTTACAGATGAGGACATCAAGGGAAAGCCGCCCAAGGTTGCACAGCTAGAAAGCATCAGAGGCTGGATCTGAATCCAGGTGGTCTGCAACCAGAGCTTGGGTCATGGTTTATTCTATGAAACCACTAGAGTTGGCTGAGACCCAGGAAACAAAGCCAGAAGGGGGCACCCTGCTGCCTCAGAGCCCTCCCTCTGTCCTCCATCCAAGTCTACCAGAGAGGGTCTTAGGTAGAGAGCCCCACACTCACTCCACTGACAGTCAAGCATCCCCACCATGCATCCATTTCCTCCCCCCCTCCTGTTTGTGTAAATAAAATGTTATTGAAACACAACCATGTCCATTTGCTTTCATCTTATCTATGGCTGGTTACCTGCTACAAAGGCGAGTAGAGCGGCTACAACAGAGACCACCTGGTTCTCAAAGCTGAAATATTACTGTCTGGCCTTTTACAAGAAAGTTTGCTAACCCCTGGCCCAGAACAAGGCCTGGCACATAGTAGGTACTCAATAAATATTTGTCATTGCAGAACAGAGCCTGTCATTCATCTGTGACCAACACAAGGCAGCCAGCTTGCTCTTGTCTCAAAGCCAGTTCCAGCTCTGAGTCATGTACAGGAAAACAACAGCCCAGTGACCAAAAACAAAATGCTGGAACCATTCAAATCTTTGCCACAGAGAAAATTTCCAGGCAGGATTACAGTCAGGACCCACAGTGACAATTCATATACTCTCTGTCCCTCTCTTTTTCTCTATTAAGACTAGAAACCCCTTAACACACCAGGTATGGGAGTTGCTCCCCCCAATTTTCTCTCTCAAAAAATTTCCCCAAACTCTTGCACAGTGCAGCCCATCCCTGGCTTTTCCTTCTCCTCCCCTCTACACTCTAAAGTTTTATTCTTGTGCATGAACTTGGCTTCCCGCTGGCTTTCCCTCACACTTGTGCTGCCGATTACTCAGATTCTGCATAACAAGGTGCTTATGACTTTAGAATAACAAAGGCTGGGCCAGCTGGTGGGACTCCCTCTCTTTCTCTGGGAACTCTGAATTCTCCCACATTCCCATTTCCTCCCTCCCCCCCTCCATCCCAGTATTTCATCTACTCCATTTCTGAGTTTCTGAGCTTACGTTGCACCCTCAGGGCTGACAGAGAAATCTGTTTGAATGGATGAATAAATGAATAAATGGAGGGTGTACACAATGAATAAACGAACAAGTGGGCAGATGGGTGGAAGAATTGGTTAATGCATAAATGGATCAATGGAAGGTCAAGTTGACCTTTAAAAAGTATCCGGAATCTGACCCCTCGTTGCCACTCTGGTCTAATGAACCCCAGATTGTCTCCTGCCTGGACCACTGCAGTCACCACCTCTCTGGTCTCCCCGCTTCTGCTCCTCACCACCCTCAGTCTATTACCCAAGTTAGCTCATGTCCCTGCTCTGCTCAGAGCCCTCCCCTGGTTCCCATCTCATTCAGAATAAAAGCAAAGGCCTCACCATGAGTACAAGACCCAGCAGGATGTGGCCCCCTATGTCCCGTCTTTGACCTCACTTCCCACCCTCCCGCCTCACTCTGCTCCATCCACACAGCCCTCTTCTCTGTTCCTTGAACACACATGGCATACTCCTACCTCAGGACCTTTGCAAAGGCTGTTCCCTCTGTCTGGAAAGCTCTTTCTCCCCAACATCCCCATGGCTCGCTCCCTCATTCATTCAGATCTTTGCTTAAATGTCACCTTGGCAACGAGGCCTTCTCTGACCATCCTGTTGAAAGTCACAGCCAGCCGCCAAGAATCCCCCAACCCCCTTCACTGACTCTCCTGTCTCTGTTTTTTATAACACTTGTAATGTTCCAAAATATTATATCATTTACTTATTTACTGTGTTTGTTATTTATTGTCTCTCTCTCTTTGGCCAAAGAATGTCAGGCCAAGAGAGGGTGGGGACTCAGCTTCATTCACTGCTC